TATGGATATGACTGAGTGCTGATGTTGTAAATATCAGCTGGTGTAGTCAATCAATCATCCATGTGAGGTAGCCTAAGAAGAGCTGACACTAGTTTCACTGTGATATTCGCACGTTGTCAAGGAAGGACAACAACAGATCGACTAATAGACTATAACTACAGATTATCAATTCCTTCAACAGCTTAAAATCTTACCATTAATCACTCTTACCTGTGACTAGATTCTTCTACTGCCCCCATAAATAATTAAAGACACAATTGATTACGTAATATATTCCATCAAACATCTTACACCATATCAAGTATAGTTATTCATACATCAAGCGTACTTGATTCAACTACCATCTCCTCATGCTACCTCACATGGATGATTGATTGACTACATCAGCATTACCTCAACTTCAAGATACTCAGTCATATCCATAGAATCTACAATAATCAAGAATGCAAGGACACACTCTCATTACTACAATAGAATAATCTTCTCTAGCCACAACATTGCAATATTATTATAATTATTTAAAAATAATAAACATTGTTTTTACTAAATACATAATATTTTTCAGCCTTTTTATTTATTACTTCCTTTGAAGTTATCCTGCCGAGAGACTAATCCACTGAACTATTGAATTGGTAGTTCGAGCCATAAACTAAACCTTTAAAATCGAACATTTGTTTCAGCGAGAGAGCAAGAAGCTTCCACCAAGAGAGATTTTCAGCGAGAGAGCAAGAAGCTTCCAGCAAGAGAGATTTTGAGCAAGAGGGCGAGACGCACCGCGTGCGTCCCTTATATAGCCACGCGTCGGCTCACTTAGCTGGCAACAACGCATTGTTGTTGCACTAATTCTTACACGAGGCGTGGAAGAAAAAATCTATAACCTTCGAGAATGTTCGACGAGAGAGAAATAGGAGTGCTATCTACCTTTGTGTGATGTTATAGTATATTATATTTCATGTCGTAAACTTGCTCGGACTTGCCGAGTTTTCTTTGTAAACATTGGCTCGAGTGCGCGTGCCGGTCTAGGCGCACATGTTGTAGGCCGCACAGCGCGTATGACCCTTTTTTTTTAATTCATGGAACTGCATCAATCCCGAACAGTAGTTGTATATAAATAAGTATTAATATCGAAATTTTTTAGTATATATTTATATATATTTATATATTATATATATAAATATTATATATATAAATAAATATATATAATAATATAAAAATTCAATAATATGTACAAACAATTCCTTGGCACCAATTTTAATCATATAAATTAATGGAGATTATAGAAATCAACTAATTTTTATTACTCACTATATTTATTTTAGTATTGAATATTATTAGAGAAATCTTTAACTGCAAATAAATTGATATCAAGGAAAATTTATACATAACACAATGTTTAACGCTTTATAATTTTTCTTAAATACTAGATACATTTTAAGATAATAAATAAAATGTTTTATATAAACAATTAATGAGGTTTTACAATGTAAATATTAATATAATAAACTTTTTGAATTTTAATTTTTTGAATATAATAGAAAAATATTGCAAATAAAAATGTTATTAATATAGCTATCTGAAAATATAAATTTATTACTATTAACATTAATGCTCTAAACTTATTTTACGAAATCAAATTATAATTCTTGATTATGAATTATTTCAGAATAATTACCTCGTGTTTCTAAAATCTAAACATTTATTTTGTAATTTTGAGTCTAAAATTTTAATTAACAATTATATTTTTAATATGTATTATTGAGTTAGTATTAGTTAATTAATTTGCAATTTTTGCAAGAATATTTAGAACATACAATACTTACAATTTCAAAAATTAAATATAATTTATATATTATAGTAATACATATGCAGTTTTGTGATATACTAAAAATATCAATAAAATAAATGATTTCTTATAAAACTATCAAAGTTTTATCTTATGTTATATTACAATCTACTCTGATATATACAATAATTAATTATTCTATAAAACATGTATTCATTATTTTAAATTTACAATTAGATGTTCATATTATTACTAAATATATTTTTTTGACATGTAATCAATAAAGATTGCCTTGTTGTTAGCAAATCATTTTTGTTAGCAAATGCATTGTCAATAATTTAAAATGAAGATAATGAACAAAAATAGAAATAAAATAATTTTTATTTGAATTTTTTATTATGAATAACTATATAAATTCATAATTTTTTTTAGATAAAAAATACAATTCGCATAGCATTTACAAATCAAGCTATCGTAATAGGAATAGTAGACGTATTTTTTGTACAAAGCGAGACAAAGACCAAGATTGCCAATCTTAAATACGTGGTGCAAATTATCTATAATTTTATGGTATTAGTAAAGAAATTAGTAATATAAATTAATAATCAATACATTTTTTAAAATTTGCTTCTTCCAAAATCATTCCAGGACATGCGACATTCTCAGTATATATGATAATATACATATATAGATTAAACGCTTTCTAAATATGTACAATTGGTATCTATAAATGCAAACATATAATAAAAATTTTTTATATTCTTATTTATTAAGGTCAAATATTTAATTTGGAAACTCTAATTTGTTAATATTGTAGATAGAGTGCATGCGATGAGAGTACTTGTATATTACTATTTCATTGGTTTCTATTAGAAGCTGTAAGCTGTTTATCCTTTGTATTTGACTGTTTTTATTAACTCTTGATTTAGTTTTGCTGCTTTTTCATTTATCATTTTGTATATTCTTATTTTCTTGCTTAATTTATTATTTACTTAATATAAGAAAAAATATTTATAGATACTCATATATAATCATACGTAATATGTTTCAAATCTAATAAAAATTTAGTTTAATATAAAATTTTTAAAATAAATTTTTTTTACTAACTTAGCAAATTCTTAAAACATGACTAGACTTTCACGAGATTATGCTACCGAAAGATGCTTTAAACTATAATTAATCAAGTTAATCAAGTTTTGTATATATATATAATTCCATCATATTGAAGTTTCATGTATTTAACTATTTTAATTTTTTTATCGAAATATTGATAATACAATAATCTATCAAAATTAAGAAAATTACAGTAGATATATTTTAACATAAGATATTTTTTATTAGACAATTTACTAGTGTATAAGATTTGTTAAGGTTGCTAATAAATATTCCTTAAAGTATTAAATAATTATGCACACATATTATAATTAAAGAAATTGATATTATCGAGTACTTACAATTTTTATACTTCCTATTAATAAATTATGCGTTCCAATTATGTTTATTTCAATGTATGCATGATTATTCTACATTCGCCTATCAATACTTAAGAGTGGAAAAAATATTGCAGTAAGTAAGTAATATAAATGCACTAATATAAATGCAAGGTTAAAAGCTAAAATGAATTTTAAAGAACAAGCAGACTTAGTTATTATTATTATGCATAGATTCGATGAACAATTTTTTAAGCTCCTTCGCTTATAATTTATACATGGCAGTTACTTGCCTTATAAGAAAAGTAAATTTTTAATTTGCAATGAATACTTAAAAGTACTGTAGATGTAATTGAAAGGTGTTATTATAATAAATACAGAAAACTTTACTAATAATATGCTTTAGTCAGAGGTAAATTTATAATGTGTGTATTTAAATGTGCCTTTCCATACCATGCTTTTATAGTATATAATATATTATAGTATATAATATGTTTTAATATTGTAATTTTTATGCATACGTTTTTTTAAAGTTCGAATAAAATAATCATTATAAAGTACATTTGCTTTAAAGAAAATTCAACATGTTAATATGGAGATGTTTTGGTTTAAAATTATCTCAGCAATAGTATTAATAATTATAATTATAATTAATATTAATAATTTATGAGTATTCATAGCTTCCATGGCAGACTATATTTGTACTGTTAAAGTCTTGAATCTTAATTCTCTTTAGAATAATATAGATCATGAAATTGTAAACATAAAAGACAATTAAAAAAATTAGTTTATTACCATTCATTATTTTTAATTTTTACCTTAGAAAAATAAATAAAGATTTTAAATTTCTAATGAAAAATTTTGTTGACATATGCAATAGTCCTCATTAGAATTGATTTATAAATTCTTAAATCATTGACTCTTGCTATACAATATAAAAAATTCTACAACGTATATGAAATGCAAACAAATTAAAAAAAAATTTTTTTACTATATACCACTATATAATAAATAATATTTCTTATATAATTTTTTACTAAGTTTTTTACTAGTAGCTTCTTCTTATTTTATCTAAAAATATACATGGTAAATTTAAAATTTGCGTAATAATTATTAATAATTTACTTATATATTATTTATAATCGTTTATTTTATTAAATTAATTATATAAATTTATTAAATTTACTTTGATGTTAGAAAATAACTTCATTTTCCTTGAAACATAAAAATATGTTTTAATAAATATGTAAATAAAAACTGAATGAGGAAAAATACATTTTTATTATTGATTATGAAATTATTTGTAATGATAATATGAAAGTTTTCAATATTATAAAGCATAGTCTAAATTTATTACTAGATAGCTAGCGCATGAAAATAAAAAACATGTTTTGCTATTGAAAAAATTTTATAGGTTCTATAAAATTAATTTAAAATTCTTTCATTTTATAGACTTGATTCTAATTATTAATATAACACAAGCTCCATTATTTTTAATATTCGAAATAATGTTTTAGAAAAGCGAAAATAACAAAAATAAAATTTTATTTTATTTACAATTGCCATTGTATTACTTAACAAAGAATTCCTACTTGTAATTTTGTATCTGTAGATATTTATTAAATGAGTAATATTCAAAGAGATGCATATTTATAATCTTTCCTAAAGATAAATGAAATCTATTTGGTAAAAATATGCATTAAAAAAAATAGTTACAAAAATTTGTAGCAAAAAAGTATGAAATCATTACAATTAATAAGTTTATTTTAAATTAATATAAGGCTCACCTCTCCAACTGGCCTTAATTGGACACGTGATTGTCTGATTTTGTATAAGATAAGCATTTAGGGTAGTAAGACTGGGACTCTTCCGTAACGTATCTTCATCATTTTTCCATACGTACGTAATTGCAGTCTGTTCGTACGATACTAAATAATATAAAAATTAATTTCATGGTACATTGAATAATAAAATATATTGTTTAGTTAATTTTTTTATGTAACATTTATCCCTTCTCATTTCTAAATTTACAATATAATAAACATTTATAATATAAATATATTATACATATGAATTATATATATATATATATATATAAATGTCTACTCACTGCTTTCGATCGCAAAAGAACACAAGGGATCATCAAAAGGAAATATGTTAAGTCTTCCTTGACAGGACAGAATGAGGTGACGCCTGTAAAAAATATAATTGTAATTATAAGAAAATATTTCCTTGTAAACTGGTATTGCTAATAAATTTTCTTCATGCTTTGATGAATTTGGTATATTAAAGGTATTTATTTTCGTGTTTTTAAAATAATTAAATAAAAATAAAATTTCAGAAGTAAAATTATAACTATAAGACAAATAAAAAACGAAATAAAATTATATTGGGAACTACATTATATTTATAACTTGTCATTAAATTAATCTTAATATTTTATATATTTATAGTTATATATATGTTCTTATATTTCTAATATTATGAACTGTTAAAATGAAGATTAATTAATTAATTAATTTAATATTATTAAATAATATTTCTTATACGATTGAAAATATAAAAGCATAATAATAAGTGTATAATAACTGTAGATAGAAATTTTAATAATAAGCAGTAATGGTATTTGTAAATTACATCAGTAAATACTAAGTAAATTATAGCAAAGCATTCTCTAATCGTTGTATTTTATAATTAATAATATAAAGTATCATAATATAGTGTTGAATATAAATTATAATAATCAATTTCAACATTTTTTAAAATTATTTTGTAATATTTGAGCCTGTTTCGTTAAATAAAACATCTTCAGAAAACAGCGATACAATTAAAATACTATTGCAATTATTCATTTATTTTATCGTTTTGGGCCAAATATTAGTTGGCTACACTGTAGTTATTTACTCTATTTTATTTTGTCCATGATATAATAGGATCCACATCGTATAAATAGGTTTTGATAAAGTCGCAGAAACCGAAAGAGCTTCGAGCTTCGGAAGAACTACGAAAGAGCGTAGAATAGATAATTTTCCACACAAAATTTATATTCCACTTTTTGAATAACATGGTCGCCAAATTTTTTATAAGACAATCATTATCCAGCCGGTAAAGAGAAATTGTAACATTATTTGGATCACTTTAGGTTTATATTTTAATACAATGTTACCAATAAATTATAAGTCATGATGGGTTTAAAAACTTGACGTAAATTTGAAAATGGGATAGTTTTATCGCTAGTCAGTAAAAATAAAATTATGAAAACTGCTTATTTAATTACTATATTATATCATTCAACTGTTGAATACGGTCTTAGAGAGTAAAAAAGTGAAGATTAAAAGTATATTATTATAAATACCGCATGAGATAGTTGACGGTGCCGTTGCGATAAATGCGCAGAGCGAAGTGAACTGGTATAAGGGGATCCTTAAAATCACCGTGCATGATGAAATAGGTATCCGGAAGCCAAATATCGTTGTGATGATGAATCGCATTAAGAAATTCATAACGCGATCTATTGCTGTAGCGTAGTCGCGGATCATACCATTGTTGTTGCAAAAGGAATTCCACCTCGTATTTCTAGATAATAAAAATTGTACAGTTTTATATTCAATGTATTGGTTGCTGTGTATATGTAAAAGTTCATTGGGCGCAATTATAACATTGAGAAAATTACAATGTATGTGTGTGTGTGTGTGTGAATAGTCATTTAACTTTTTATTATTTCTTTTTTAAATAAATTTGTCTTTCTCCTTACTTTGTGAATATTGCAATTTATATGAACATAATCTGAATGAAATTTTATATTTGAAATAGTATTTAAAAATACTGTTAACAGTATTTTAACAATTAGTTTGACATTAAAACAGAAGTATTTCAACAATTAAATAAAAATCGATTATATTAAATATAAAATTAAACTCTAATTATTTTGTTGTAAATACAAACTGTAGTTATATAAAGTTTACAATATGCTAGTTATACATTAAAGTATTTTTAAGATTCAGTTTTAATTAAATAGATCATTGTTTCGTGTTCTTTAGATATTCGATCATTTTAATATATATCTAGAAATAAAAATTACCAGACTAGATTCATCAGGAGACGCAAGACTCAGCAATAAAACACTCACGTTTACAGTCAAGGTTCCTGAAACAATTTGTAAAAGAAGTCACGTAATTTATATTTATTCTTTTCAAAAATGTTTATCATTCAAAAATGGATATTAGACAAACGGAAATAGGAAGCCACAATACAGGTTGACGTCAACACATAAATGATACCGTCAAATGAAAGTATTTGTTACTATATGTAAAATTGTCAATGATAAAAACTACTACGAAGAACATTATCATTTGTAATTAAAAATTTCATGTTGACGTCTTCAAAGTGCTAACAAAATTTTTCTGTCTAAGCAAGCAACTTACCATTTAAAGACACGATTCAATTAAAATAAATAACAAGGTGCATTTTTGCTAAAGTACTATATTTAACTGAATATTTTAAATATGTTAATAATTTATAACATTATATACACATGAAACTTTTTATAACAAGTACATTATAATAATAAAGAATATAATTATTTTATTCTGATATAATTTTTATAAGTTTATAGTAACAATTAAATTAATACATTTTTCGGATAAATTAAAATTTTTTTCATAATCGATAGTAAATTGAAGATTCTTATTGCATATTGTATATAATTATGTAAATATATAAAAATATTCTTCCATAAATTAATAAAACCACAGAATTGATATAAATAAAATATTACGATTTCCAAGTAAATTATAAGTCAATTAGATAAAAGAAATTAAAGAAATTACGTTACTATTGAATATTAAAATATACTTTAATTATCTTTCATTATCTACATACGTACGTATTTATAATACATGATATGCTTCGTATAAATAAAATAAAATTGTTATTTACAAGTAAACGAATTATGTAAATAGTGATATCTTTACGAAGCTATAATCTATTACAAAAATTGTGCTATTTATTAGGAAAATAATCCTTAATATTTAAAATACAATAAATGAAAAGTAATGATATAATAATATTAATTAGAAGACATTCCATGCATATATTAATTATCGTGCAAAATTACTAAGAGTATGTGTACTAATTTGCAATATATACAATGCATTTCATTCTACTGTTTTAATGCTCCTTTCAACTAAAAATATTATCTTACATAAGAACACGTATTAAGATAAATTGCATACATGTAGTTTTGAAATTATCATTTACTCGTGAAAAGCTGAACATGTGCATTTAAAAAATTTTAATTAAATCAATGCTATTATTTGTGTAACTAAACGCTTGCAACTGGAATACAGTTTAATTTGATACACTACTTAAATTAAAGTAAATTGTTCGTTAGTGGAATAAAAAATAGTTACTTTTCATTCTACACCGTGATTTTTATTCATTTTTTTATATAAATTTTGAAACAATTTTCAAATATTTAATTATAATCTATATTTTACTTAAATGTAAGTTTTTCATTTGTAAATTTTTTAAATTTATGAACTGTGAAATACTTATTTTACGTTAATAATACTTATATTCATTTTTAAGTCGTAAAAAATTTTTTAAATAGTCATATTTTTAAATGCATTTAATCAGAATATGTGTATATTTATTGGAAACATTATTGAACTTATAAAGATGAAAACAAAATGTAATTACATTACGAAAATAATGCAATACGTAAATCATATAAATATAAACAAATTTCAGAAAAATATAATAAAATAGTATTAACATAAAAATTGATAATATTAAACGTAATGTTTGAAAATATAAAGATAAAAAATTTTATTTAATTCTAAAATTTAAACGTATATAAAGTTAGCATTATGCTTTCATTTCTATCAAACTTTATATCTTTTCTTCTTATTCTACTCGAAATATACTTTTATGATCTATCGCTCTATCTAATAGATAAACTATATTGACATATGATTTTTATTCCGTTCGTGATTTTATAATATTAAAATATATATATACAACGTATATTACAACGTTCAACTTTCCAGAATAATAAAATCAAGAATAATAATAAAAAATTGTAAATAATAATAAATTTCTTAGCATATTACTTAGGTATTTCTTAATTTTATAACAATAAAATATATTAATACAATATATATAAGAATTAATTTCATTATGTTAAAATTAAAAATAACATTTTCACTTATATTATATTTATAAGAGATTTTAACATTTTATTTTTTTTATAGGAAAATTTATCTATTTTATATATACAAAGAAGATAACAAATTCAACTGATCATGCACTATCTTAAACTATTAATTTTTAATTAAATTTGTAGGCTTTAGTTCGATTTCTATACATAAATTTCTATTATTATAAATTTAGATTATATCTTTATAACCAAGCCAGGATACTTTTAATTTTAATACAGATAGAAAAGAGAAAATTTACTAATATTCAAACTGATTGTAAAAAGATTTGAATAATTACATAAACTAAATCTCTACTAAATTTTTCTTCTAAATGATTTCATTACATTTCATTCTCATTCTTTTAATATTAAAATAACAACATTTATTTATCTAAGTAGTTAAAAATAATAACTTTAGTCTACAGACCTTAATTTTCGAAAACTCTTTACCAGACTAATTGCTGTATATGAAACCGCAATTAATTACTTTTATTGTAGAGGTTAATTAATATCGTCGAGATGATATTCAGTTTAATTTAATTTTTTCTAAAATGGAGAACTTTTATAAATTAATGTTTTTATATGAGAATGATGTATTAATGCAATATATGATGAATCAATATCAAGATTAAATAATATAATAAATCATTGTTTAAAAATAGTCTAAAATTTGTAATTAAAATCATTATTAAATTGGGAGATCATTTAAATTATAGTTTAAAGATTAAAGAGAGTTTAAATACTTTTAAATAAGGTTTAATAGTACAATCCAGAAAATAGTTATTTAATTTTATTATATAAACCAACTTGCTACTATTTAACAATATAAAACGCTCAATGTTAACTAAATAAAATTTATAAGAAAATAAAAATATCAGTTTGTATGACCTTATATATATATATATATATATATATATATATATATATATAATGCATATACGAAATAATATGAGCTGAAAAATTAAATTTAAATTATTAAACAAAATTGAAGATATTCTGAATAAAATAATGTTATAAAACTTGAATATTTTCTATTAAATTTGTTTCAAATTTGTACAATACTAATTATTCTAAATAATCCATTATAAGTAAATCTTTTAATTTTTTTAAAAGTTCTATTTAAAATTCTAAATTTCGTTTTCATTATTACATGACATTATATAATAACTCTTTCTTTAAATATTTGAAAATATGTTATGATTATAAATAAAATAATTAATATTATGCCGTAAAATATAACTAATTTCTTTTTACATAAAATATTGTATAATATATATTAATTGTAATATATACTATACGAAGATATTTACTATATTAATTAAAGTACGAATAGGTATTATTCGTATCTTCAATTATAAAATTAACTTTTCATTAGTGAGTATTATATGTGATGATTTTAATATTTAAAATAATGACCAAATCAAATATAATAATATATACAATAATAATAATATACAATCGAATATGATAACCAGTTTAATAGAACTTAATTTTTGTAAATTTTAATATTTATATAATATTCATAAATAAAAGACTTAAATTATTATAAATAAACTATATTTATAAAAACTAAACTATTTATAAAAACTAATCATATCTATTGAATTATTACTAGTTGATGTGATGAAAATTTAATTACAGGTTTTTTATTTATGTATAATAGGCATTTCTATGTAATAATAAAAAATTTGTATTTCAAGTAGAATTTAAAAGTTATTTTGAATAATGAGATTAGTTGAAAATAATCACTTGAAATATATGTTTGAAATTTCCTTAAGATTTACACTTGAAATATACTTTGTAAGCATTATTATAATGCTTTGTGGTTTTTCTAGTTAAATATTGAGAAGTTTTATTTTTATACTTTTCTAATATATTTATTAGGTTATCTTAATTAATAATAAGAAATTGTGAAACATATTAACATTACCAAATTTAATCATATAGATATAAATAGTTAGTAAAAATTTGATTTAAATATTTCCATTTTCATGTTCTGAATTTCAAAAAATATAATTTTCGTATTGAGATTTTTATCAATAAAAATATTTAATAAAATAATTTAATAAAATAAGTTAAAACGTAATAGATAATAAATTATCAAAGAATTAAAATTAAAAATATGAAACATGGATTATGATACAAGGGCCACTGATATGAATCTTTTACAATGACATTATATATTGTATTGTATAACAAAGAAATAAAGTTTATGTCTGGGTACAAAAGCAAATACTTAGGTAGAAAATATATACAAAGCATTGAACTCATGATATAATACATTGTTTATATGCATAGAATAGTTTTAAAACATTCTTATATATTGTTTACTGGGCTATAAATAATATCATCAGATCAAATAATGAAAGCATAATATATATATATATATATATATATATATATATATATATATGTGTGTAATTTAATATTTGTTGATTTAATTTTTCCAATTAATCTAATAGTATTTACATATATTTTTTGTGCTAAGTAAGGTATATGTAATGATATATTTAAATTATATATATAATTGAAATAAATTAAAAAAGCTTGCAAAATTATTCTAGAAGTAAGTTTTCTCGTTGCTGCATAATAGAGAAAAAAATCTGAGGTAATATTGTAAGTGCTCATCCGTATATATCTTCGTTAAAGTTAATACATATATTGCAATTGCTAAAGCTTTAAACTAGTACAGAAACTCAATGAGAAAGATGTTTAATCGACCTAAGATTCATTTCTTAATTAAATGTAACCATTTCGATATAAAATCTCGAATTTCTTATATTGTATTTTGTACACACTTTAAGATATTGTAAATAAATATTTATATAACTTAATGATTAGCTTATAAACATTTTTGTATAAGCATTTTTAATATTTACTTCTAATATTTTTAATAGTTATTTAATCTATTGTAATACTATGTATATATTCAACATAAATACACAGAAAACTTTTGAAAATATGAAAATAAATGAATTTAGTTATAATCAAATTTTATTTTTTAATTTTAATTACTCAAACATTATATACAAAGATATTAGGATAATAAGATAATAATGAATATATATCATTTAAGAAACAGTAATTATAATACGAATTAATTATATTTAAATATATTTTATTATATAATTCAATAAATGATTGAAAAAAATTCTCCAATTATAATGTTTTTGAAAAAAAGTATCAAAAATTTTTTTTGTAGGCTTTAACTACATAAACAATCAATTTAATCTATACATTATTTTATTATGGCTTATTGAGCTTTAAGAGTATTATTTCATCTGATTATATTTAATAAATAGCGAAATATATTTTCCATTTAGTTTTACTTAGTAGTAATACTTTATAACACAGTAGATGGCTTATAGAAAAAGTAAAATTTTTAAATACGTATTATTAAATAAAATTATTTAAATAGTAAGCATAAAACAAAAAAATCGAAAATTATAATAGATTTGATTTTAATGAAATTATTATCTATATAATTAGGTTGAAAGTAGTAAGTATTATTATGAAATATGTGGGAAGAAAAAAATGTTTGCGTGAACATATTTTTACTGACAATTGAATTGAACAAAAAGTCTTATCGAATGTGTACATGGGAAAAGAGAATTTTTATAATTTTAAAACAGTTCTTGCGGTATGCTAAGAAAACTATTGCCTAATAGTCCTAATGATAGAATGGATTTCTGCAATGAATATCTTCTTATTATTCTTTTGACCAAAACAATAGTGAGAATCAAAGTAAAATTAAAAAAGTTCTAACCTATCTCATTTACTCTCACACTCTCTCTCTCTCTCTCTCTCTCTCTCTGTCTCTCTCTCTCTCGTCCTCCCTCCCCCCTCTCTCTCTTATTCCTTATGAATAGCTTAGTATATACTCTTTTAATCCTAGATTTTTATTTTTAAATAATATATAAATATTTTAGCTGCTTTATCGAAAAATTTTAAAATATAATTATATTTACATTTTATAAGTTGTATTATAAGAATATATACAACAAACTACTAGAATGAAGTATTTTTGTTTTGAAAAATTGTGTTTCTTTATGCTGAGAATCAAATGTTTAAGCAAAGGTTTTCTAATAATTAATAATTGAATTTTGCAATATTTAAATTATGTAATAAAATATTATAAATATTAAACAAACATATACCCGTTAAAGCTTCTTAACGATTACTATTGGAATATTATCCATAAAAATTGGTTTATTATTTATACGACTATTGCTAATTAATAGTTTCTATAAAACTATAGAATAGGTTAAACTTTTATTTATAAATGTTTCGAAAACTAAAATATGTTTAATAATTAATGATTATAATGTATCTGACTGAAATAATAAAGTATATTGATTTATTTTTGCTCATTAATTTTATGAATTTAATAAATTATTAATGTGCAATAAACAATACTCGTATTATATATGAAGCATTATTATTTATCACTATGCACTAATAGATAATTTAAATAAATGAAATTAAGTATTTTTAAACTATACAATTATAATGACTAAGCTTATAGCAACATCAATATATGTTATTCCTAATGTAAATTCCAACTATACAAAAATGTTGATATTTCAAATAATTTAAATAGAAGGGAAGTATCTGTATATTTCGATAATCTCAAATAATTGTATCCACAAACTATCATTCGACAAAGTATAATTAAAAAAATACACTATAAAAATAATCTATAACTAAAAAAATAATCAACAGCTTGCCATAATCATTTTATTAATTATAATGCAATCAATTTCAGAAATATCATATATATTTCATTAATTAATTTAATAGTTTATTTCACAATAATTCACAATCACTCAATTATAACTGTTTCTTTTGTAATAGAATATAATTTCCTTTAAGATGGCTTTCAAATATAAATACTATCTATAAAATATTAAATTTATTTTCAATTATAATATTAATTTTGCAATTTAATTTAATTGTACTCTTTAAGTTAGCAAATTTTTCATTTGGACTTTTGACAATTCTTATTCAAATACGCTCTGTCAAGCTGTTACATTTTATTCAATAAAACCATCCGATTCTCGTGAGTGAATTTAAATAGAATCAATGAAAATTCGAAAATCTCAGTGCCACACACATAAATATAACAATAAAAATGAAAACATAGATAAATGAAATATAAAGCGGCACTTCAATATAAAAGAAATTGAAAACTAAAGTTCAAAATAATTCATAGATAGCTATTAGCATGATTTTATAAAACTCGAATATGAGACACGGACCGCGAAGGTGGGTGCGAAGGTGTTGGTGAGACGTGTATTTATTCTCGTTCCTGTTCCGATCGAAAGCATCATTCGACAGCTCGAGCAGGTATCTGGCAGTCGTGCGATTAGTCTCACTGATATCGTCAGCATCCCCAGGCCAATGCATTCCGCAGCAGAAATCTGCATCTGTAACACCCAACACATACGTGGCCCTTTTGCTTCTAGCAACTGTACTTCTGTCCTTTCCTATATTTCTCTGGTCCTCTTTTAATTGGTTTTAACAATCGCGGGAATACGTTCATTTTCTTCATCTCACTTTCATTCATATCTGTTAATTCTACTTGATATAAAATTGTTCGTAATCTTGTTTGCTTTTACATATTCCTAGTACTTTTTTATTTTTTATTACAGTCATTAATGTTGTAGGAATCATATATTTTATGAATATCGAATTAAGAGAATTAATATTTGATAAACTGTTTTTCAAATAATTTTTCAAATTAGAATTAAAAAAGCTTATAATTTTTCATATAATATTTCACTACATTATCTTTTTATTCTATACGACATTATTATTTGTTTGAAAATTTTATGTGGCTATATTGCAAATGATTCTTTTCTATCCAGGATTATCAAAAATTATAAATATTTTATAATTATTTCATTAAGATAATAAAATAATAATTACAATATATATACATTTATTTATTTATGTGTAGTAGTAATAAAATTAAATATAATAGAATTGAATTGAAAGTTTATGTTTATTATCTAATCTTTATCTAATCATTATCACATTTGATTATATAATCATATGATTTCTATTATTTTAAAAAAATAAAAAAGTTAATGTTCTTTATTATTCATTGTATTGAAAATATAATAAGCCAACTGATTAAACTACTTATTTATATTAGAAATTTGAGTCAAATGTTATTTCGTTTCAAATAAAGTATAATTCATTTTTATAGGAAAAAAGTATTTTAAAAATAAGATTATAATTGTTCTTATTACAATGGAAATACTAAATTCTGTTTAATTATAATTTCACCAATTAATTTGTGACATATTGGGATTTTAGATGTATTGCTCTCATGAGACAATTTTAGATTAAACATGAACTTTGGTATATAAACTTTTTATTGTGAGAAATTATTTTTAATAATCTATTGGCTTATATTTCATTAAGAATACGTGAGTACAATAGATTCATTTATCAACTCATACAAGTAAATTTTAAATGACTTTTTCCCTCAAATTAATAAAAATTGTATAAATTCTTATGAATCAATTCACGATTAGTGTATTGTCTTTACAATTTTTATCTGATTATATCTTGTTTATGTTAAGTAAAATACTGTTTATAGAAGATGACATTGTAGAATGTTTAATTTTATTTAAATTTAAAATATTTAAATATTCTTAAATTTTGGTTTTCTCACTGTAACAAATTTTATGTTTTACTGTAAATATATTAAAATAATAATTAAATCCATAAATTTAAATCTATAGACAGGTGAAATAAGTTATTAATGCAAAGATTTTTGTTATCAAAAATATTAATTATTAATTTTATTTTACTAAACTTTTGATATTAAATTACACAGGTTACAAAATTATGTTATAAACGTTACTCTGAAAAATGTATGTCATCAAATGATGTCATTAAATGATTAAGTAATACATAAATAAGAAAATTTAATCAATTAGAATTATGTAATATTTATGAAACATTTATAAAGAAAAATCTAGGAAATTCTGTATAATAGATTTAAATAGACAATTAATTTATCTAGTTTGTAAAAATAATCACAAGTTATAAAATCATTGATATAAATTGAGTAGCTGAAAAGTAATATCAATAGAAATAAGTTTAATATTATAAAATCGAGGCTTTAATACTCCTTCGGATTTATGTACTTTAGTGATAATAAATCTAACATAAAAAATTTTTTAAATTCCTTTTTCTATTTTTTTTTCTATTATCTTATAACAAATATTAAAAAATGGATAGGTTTCAATTTTTCATCATTTTTCTATCATATGAGAAAAATAGAAATTTCTGTATATATATATACATATACAGAAACAAGAATACAAAATAATGTGACGATAGTTATAATATGCAACACATTCATTTTTTATTGATAATATATAGAAATTGTTACATTTAATTGATACATTATAATATATAATATAATATATAATATAATATAATATATAACAAATGTAACAATTTCTATATATTTTCAATAAGAAATAAAATTCATCTAAAATTTGTAATCTTAATATAGTAAATAATAGCAGTCTCAATAAGATTTATTTTTTTATCATGAATGTGTTCTATATTATAAATATAATCACGTTATTTTGTATTGATTATTGAGACACGTATACACCGACATTCGTTTATTAAATGTACTTATTTAATAAATATAGGAAAATTAATTATTTTCTGTTATTTTCATTAATAATAAAATGTAAATTAAAACAAAACATTTTTTAATTTTAACTTTCTATTGTTTCTGAATCATTTTTATTTAAAAATATTATACTTAATACTTTAAAAATTTTTAATCTACCTAAGAAAAATTTTATCTAATCGAGCATAACTCGAATTTATTCTTTTAAATTATATACTATTAAGATTATATGATAATCATTTAATATTTCGACAAAATTAATATTTAGCAGGATTTATTACAAATGACAAGTATATCTGAATATTTATAGAAAAATTATATATATGAAAATAATTGATAACTTGAATAATTTTGAATAATTAACATACCATTTTAAAAAATGATATTGAAATCCTTATCGATCATATTTATTAGAATTATGTTGTTTTCTATTCACAAATAATTATAACTAAATTATTTATGTTAAAGATACATTCTTTATAATAACTGTAAATTTATTTGAAAAAAAATGCAATTAAAAATTTTCTGGTAATTTATGCGATAATATATGATTCGAACATAGTTATACTGTTAATTTTTAAAATATTTACCAACAGCGGTAATTTATATTATGGTATAATTTATATTACTATAACAAAATCGATACATTGCTTATTTTTCATTAATACAATATTTGTTGATGAAAAGAAATCAAGTAATAAAACCAAATTATGTGCCAGTTGTCGATTCATTAATACCAAAAGGGAAATACTTTTTTATCTTCTGCAATAGCACGGGGTGCAATCATGCGCTATAATTGGCTAATTAGTGAGAAGGATAAATCATGCAGTTAATAAATTTACATTAAAGAGGCGTTTTTTAAGTACAATTAAAAGATATCCTTTATCATATGTAAGATTTTTTTAATTTGATCAATGCATTTTAAATTTGAATAAAAACTTTGTTTAGTAATTCTGGCAGTATTTAATTTTTTTTAATGCAATATAAATTTTCTTATGAATGAAAAGAAATATATAAAAATAGTTTATATAAAGTAATATAGATATTCAAATCTATTTTAATGCATTTATTTGTATTTGAACTCATATTTAAAATTGTTAAAATATCATATTTGACATATTATAATTTTATTACATTACAAATATACCAATAATATTTGTTATAAAATTCTATAAGAATGATATATAATAGGATTATTATTTTTGACATGTAACATATATTATTAAAATCTTTGATTATATGTTAAAAACGCGCTCTTGCGCGCGCATTTACTCACACACGCGCACGCACACGCGCACATACACAATATATGTTTATTGTAATTTGAAAATATGTGCAAGATAATCTAAAATTTAATTGTATATAAAAAAATGGGAATATTATAAACATAAAAGTATGAAAAGTTTTGTTGACTTTGTGAATAAAGTTTAGAATACATGTAAGAAACTACATACTACTTGTTATTGTGTAAATATTTGTTGTAAATTTAGATCTCGTCAATAGAAAATAGTAGATAAGAATGATAGCAAAAGAAAATAATACGTAGAAAAATAATTGATTCAGAAAAAATGTAAGAGTATTGATAATATTATATATATCGATACTGTTTTGTAGTTTTATTCTAAATATTTTATTTGTATTTGAAAATGAACAATATTTTATCACGTTTAACATGATTTTTTTGATGAGGGGGTTGTTGATATTTCACAATTATCGTAATGAGATTTTTAAATTTGTTGACACCAATAATTTCAAAAAATTTAATGATAGAATTATATCAAATTGAAATACTTTTGTATTTACAATATGTAAAACAATTTTTATGTAAAATAGGAAGAATATTGAATAGTAAAAAAAATAATAAATCAAGAATTACGATGAATCGGATTCTATCTTTTCTTACCAATAGGAATATAGTTATATATATAATGTACAAATATCAATAATACTATTTACACATTTATAATACACATGATTGTATTATTCTTGATTCTATCTTTTTATCAACCACTCTTACCATTAATCATTTTTATCATATGGACACTATTGCATTCCTGATACTACTATCCAATATTAATTATATACGGTAATTTTGTATCATTTAATTGTGAATTTGTTCAAAGAATTTAAACAATATGGTGAAAATTGAATTTTATTATGTTATACACATAATAAGTTTAACGTAGTTAAAATAACTAAAATAATACTTTGTACCTAAAGTTTACATAATTTATTTGAAATTAAATATTGTGATGATCAGAAATTAAGACTTCAAATGATATTATCGATAAAGATATAAAAAAAAATTCATGTATTGTTACGGTTGTTCATTTTTTTGCACATCACTGTAAATTTATCAAATATGCAATTTCCTGTTTAACTTGAACTTTTAATATCATTTAATGATCTACTTTTATATAAAATACAAAACGTTTTGTTAATAGAAACATCTGTTTTTAAATTACTAAATTTCTAATTTATATCAATAAATAGAATTTTTTAACTTAAAAATTATTTAATAATAATTATAACTAAAAATAACAACATAATAGAAAAAATATAAAGGTATAAAAAATTATTAATAATTTAATAAATTTCCTAACTATTGTTGTCACATATAAAAATTCATTAATATGATATAAATTGTAATAAATTATAGTTAATATAAATAATGTTAAGAGTTTCTGATTTTATATTTCACTTTGAATTTTGATAATATTTCCTTATCAGTTAATATAATTTTCTAGTGTTTCTTTACTTTTTATATTGTATTCTCTGTTTTTTTTTTTGTATTTGGTATTTTGTATTTGGCACAATTTGGAAATATAATTTATAATCATTCTCCCGATAACGAATATTACGCTTTTATAATGTTTCTAAGTGTTTTGAAAGAAAAGTTTTATTAATAATATATATCAAGACGATATCTACTTTTTAATATCGTAAAGCAGAAGAAATTATGTATATTATGAGTTGTATTAAGATAAGTCAAGTATATTATTTTTATACTATTATTACTCCTAACCAAAACAAACAGAATTTACTGATATTTTAAATAATGTTTATACCTTATTATTTCATTATATTTAAAAAAAAATTTTATTTAAATCATTATAGAATATATTTTAAAGAATGATATCATAAGGATATCAATTTTTGCTCTTATTAAAAAATTTATAATTAGTAATTATAAATTTTATAATTAATTATTAATGTATATATAGCTATAAAATAATAAAAAATTTTTAAACATTTTTCTCCATTCAAATAATTAAAAATTAATGTAATATATTTCAAGGTATTATATTATGATCCACAAATTAGATTATAATATTCTTGTAAATAAATATTCCTTGTAGTTTAAATTATGAAAACATAAGATATAATATGTATATTTTATACATTTTGTATTTTTTAAAAATATCACCCTAGTATATAAATTAATATGACTATAGTAATTTATGAAAAAAAAGGAAAGAAACGAAGGAGTAGAATTGTATTATACTTTAACAGTAAATTTTACTGAATAAAATAAAATTGTAACAGAAAGGTTTTGAGAATTTCGTTTTTATTATCAAGGTAGCTTATTGATTTAATGATGTTCTAATATGCATGAAACTGTTATAGACTAATTGAATACATAAATCTGAGAAGTAACTATTAAAGTAGTTTTTTCAGCTATTTTAAAAAATTTTTAACTACGCATTTGATGGAAATCAAATATTTGCCTACAAATAACATAATAAACTAAAACATTTTATTTATTACGAAAACACATGAAAATAACTTTTATCTATACATAAATCAATATTTATGAATATAAATTAGATTTTCATATAGAAATTAATATATTTATAATAAAATAATAATAAAAGTTAATAAATCAATACAATAATAATTATATTTAATAAACTCTAAAATTTTGATATGCAGATATTAAAATTATATAATTAATAAATATAATTTAATATATTCTATAAAATTGCTTTGCATTAAACTTGTAAACTTTTACTATCATTTAGTTTGTAAAAACAAAAATGCATTTTTCAACTAGTTGTATGTAGTAAATGAAAAAAAGGAAATGTGGCACTATACGAAGAAGTGTCAAGAGACTTACGACTTCTCAGTTTCAATATAGTACTTAATCACCAAGTGTACTGCATCATGAGGCAAGATCTCATCTATTCTCTTCGTCAATGTAGAATCATTATATTATAGTTGTAAAAAAATGAATTACCAAGCACGAAAAGTAGATATGTTAAATACTGAATTCAAGCACTTGATCACACTTTTCTCCCACCTGTAAACTAGTGGACATAGTCTAATCCTAACCATCTGGGTGCTTTGATCCGACTGAATGGAATTCTAAACAAATTGTTATATTAAATTTGATCATTTACTACCTAATTATATAATGATTCAAATAGTATAAAAGTTCATTAATCCAATAGTATATTCAAATAGTACTTGAATAAATAGAATATATTTCGATTAATTTGATAATAGCATAAAAAACTAGTGTTTTTGAAAATACGTAAATAATAAATTTAATAGTAAAATTTATAAATATTCATAATACCATTATGTATAATAGCAAACTATGTTTGAACTATGCAACGTTAATTTTTCAGTAATCCTTAGTTACATGATTATATTTATAATTTAACCGTAAAACTGCGTTTTAAAAAAATGCTTTTCATATAATCGATTATATTTATTATTTATAAAAAAAGAGGATTTTATGGGTTATTGTTAAGATATACTTCTTTATCGAGACGAGTTCATTCATCATATAATTTTTTATCGGATTATTAATAAAGTACCATTTTAACATTATTTCAAATACGAAACTGTTCTGAATGCGATTTGTTGGCATAATTATATGAATTTGTTATTAGGTAGTTGTTAACTGAAACAGGGTGACAAAACTTAATTAGATAGAATGCCTAATTATTGTATGATCCCTATTAATGATAAGAAGCAACCACTGTCGTATATAAAAGCTATCTTTTACATCATTCAAAAGCAGCTCTCAAATCATTTACGTCCTTCCCAATAAAAAGACATATTACCAATACTATTCTTAATATGTCTAAAATTTTATTGCTTTATCTCTGAAATCCATTATTTTTACTATATACATTATTTTGTAAGTAAAAAAATTTAATATAAAAGAAGTATAATATCTTATAAAAACCTACGTAATAATACCCAATCAATAGATAGTCAATAGAAATAGATAGAGAAAAGGTTAAAAGAGTGTTCATTAATTCAATTTGAAATTAACGAAGAGATAATATTTTTTACTTCGAATTTTTTGTAATATGTTTTTGTAGTATTGTAAGATTGCTACTTTACATTCGATATACTTAACTCATTTAAATATCTTATATTTTCATAAACTAAAATACGAAAATTCAATAGTTTTCATTATATTTAATAATAGTCGTTGCATCAGCATATAATATATTGAAATTACAATATATGCGGTTAAAATCTTGTTAAAATATGAAATAAATCCATCAATATTTTGTAGGCTTTATATACTTTATCTATGGCCAGCGCTTGAATAACTACAAAACTAGAAGAAAAAATTATTATACAAAGGCAAAGCTTTATTTATTCACCATATCACTCTTATTAATAGATAAAGTCCCTATAATGCGTGCTCTTTAGTGGAGCATCAAACTGTTTTAAAACTGCACTGTAAAGCAAGTACAATGTGTAACTCATGATGAAATAAAATCGAGTAATACTGCATCAGGATTTAGTTCATAATACTAATAAAATACGATATTAGCGAATCGCGAATTTTACAATTTAATTTATTTAATTATATATTGCGTCGTTCAGTCTGCTAGCCCACATGCTGTATTGACTTAATAAATATCAATTAAAAGGATAATTAAAAGTCAAATTTCAAATAAAAAATGTTACCATTAAATACTAATAAATAATGTAATGTGTTACAAAAGTGACTTTTTCAACGTCGCGTAATTTACTCATGTACAGCGTTTATTTTAAAATACGGGAATTTATATAATTTACTAATAAATATTCTTTATGCCAACATGAATAAAAAAGTTTCGTTTGAGGAGTTAATTTAAAAAGTTAATAATAGGCCGTTAGAACATTTGTACATTATTCACATGAGATATATGTAATAACCATAAAGGAGATGTTGAAAATTACGAGATTATACATTACAGAATTATTATCTTTTACAGCAGTATTATTAGATTTGATCTCATTCGATACAATAATATCAATAATAATATAAAAAGCAATAGTAGTAATAGTAGTAGTAGTAGTAGTAGTAGTAGGAATAATAATAATGATAATAATAATGATAATAATAATAATAATAATAATAATAATAATAATAATAATAATAATAATAATAATAATAATAATAATGATAATAATGATAATAGTAGTACTGATAATAACAATGATAATAATGATGACGGTAATGGTGGTGATGATAATAAAAATAATGATGATGAGAATGGTAGTAGAGATGAGGGCAATGTTATGATAATAAAAACAGTCTCAGTCAGATCGACGGATGCGAAATACCCTTTCGACGGGGAGTGAGCAGTGAACTGTAGTTGTGTGGTGCTGTTTTGTGGCGATGGTGGTGGTGGTGGTAGTCGTGCCGAAGATGATGGTGATTGTGTTTGTCGAGGTGCTCAGTATCGTTGGGTGGTTGTAGTGGTTGCAGTAGTGGTAATTCAAGGTCGGGAGTGTTGTCATCTAATTGGCGGATGTGGGGTGGGGGCCTCAGTGTACCTTGAACTGGAGGCAGAAGCCGTTTATCGTAACGCGTCGATAAAAGCAGATTGTCCAGGATCTCTTTATCCGACTTTCCTTCCTCGAAGCTGTAAGAATTATTTTTTATTTTAATAACAAGACGGATCATTGCATTATTCGCCAAGCTAAATTCCAGTCTGCAATAAAATTAGCATATTATACTTCGATTTCATTTTAAGTATAAGAAAAGGAATTTCGTACTTTTATTTCAATCGTGTGTGGTTACATTCTTATACATACTTCAGTTCTTTCGAACCACAAACGTTAATTGATTGAACATTTTTTGTTAGCTAATAATATAATAACATAGCCAGAGAAATGACGTTTAAAATATGAATCTTAATTTTAATTTTTAATCCCTTTTGTAAAAATAGCACAAATGTCTATTAATAATTCTATATATAATGAATTAGAAATTGCAATTAATTTATCCTTTATTATTTTAGAATTTAAGTATAAGCCCATATTAATTATCCGTATAAATAAATTCAAGTTTTGAATATGATTCAAGTTTTGAAAGGAATATGACGAATTAATATAATGAAATTCCTTTAATTATTACAAGTTTTTTAATTCAAGCAAATAGATACATTCAATAAAAGCAACAATATATTCCAATAAATTCACGAATATATCAAGAAAAATTACATAAGTCAGAGTAATTCTTTAATTCAAAAGTTTTTGCCAAATTGAATATGTTTAGAATTCTTGTAATATAAATTAATAATAAAAATAAATAATTATCTTTGTACATGACATAGAAGCAACATTAAATAGTTAGTAGAAGAATATCTGTATAATATTCATCCAATAATCGTATATATCTCATAAAATTTAATTCATAACCTTGATGTTATAACGTCTCTTAATATACGATACTGATAATTTTAATATGATGTTTAATATAATTTGTCAGAAGAAAAAGTAAACAGCGAAACAGAAACTTATGAATATAATATTTCATTATTACGCAAATCTATTATGATTTTTTTAGAATATAAATATTCAAAAATTTAAAGTTTCTTAAACAAAATACTTTTAAATATGTAATAAAAATCAGTAGATTTTCATTTGAAAATTGTTATCTATTGATATATAAAGCAATAATACATAAAACAAATAGACGTCAGCTTGAAAATACAATGTTGAAAATAGGAAGCACACTATCCTTGATTTTCCTTTATTGACTGCTTCTTTTAAAAGTGAGAGAAATACGAAATGTATTCCAACAACGAGAAGTTATTACAATGTGAACTAAACATATTGTCAAACTGTTGACGAGTTAAATGAAAATTGAGTCAATTATTAGCATTTGTATAGATACTGAATGTATCATGAAGCTTTGAACGACAATTTGAGAATAGTTAGTCATTGTGGTCATTTGATATATGACACAACTTGCTTATCTTTATACTATTGCATCCAATATTTAAAATTTCTTTCAATATTTTTTCTTATTCATATATTTAAATATATAAATAGATATGAACAAATATGCATGTAAATTCATAAATTCATTACAATAATTTGATTGTTTTAATTATATATATATATATACATATATATATTATCAAAACCATATAAGTGTTATATCTTATGTCATGAAATTACGTATTATTAAGATTTTTATTAATAATACTTGTTTCATTCAACTATATAAATTTATTAAATTGACTTTAAATACACGTAATCAATATTTTATTATCTTACACAACAATATAATTTTTGTCATTACATTAATTACATTTTTATTATAATAATTCAATAATATTAATCATACATTAAAATATCAAATTATTTAATAATTTTAGCAGTTCTCAATATAGTTGTACATATTTTTATACTATTTAATAATTTGTTAACAAATCAATGTATATTCATTATTAGAGATATTTGAAATTATGAATTAATTTTATATTTTTATCTAGGACAAATATTAGTAAATTAATTATTATACATGATAATGAAGAGGAGTTCGATTTTTTTTTTGCTTCTCTTTAAGATCATAAAATGAAATTTAAATTATCATAAATATAATTATATTTATTTAACGGAAAATAAAGACTCGTTTTATTATCATTGCTTTCATATAAATTACCATTGCTAATACATGAATATATACACACTTTTATCTAATTAATTAATACAATATTTAAATAAACACATATTTTATTATATATACACTTATAAAATATAGACGTATAGAACTAGTAAAATATATTTAAATCGATAGAAATTAATTCAGCTTTTTCTTAATAGCAATTTCAGTATGTCTTTAACATTATTCAGGAGTCGTAACTAATTCATCTTAGATTAAAATTATCTGCGAAAGTCCTTACTTTAAACTAGATTAAATTACTAATGGGTACTAAAATACTCATTAGAACACAAAATTCAATTTTATTTTACTATAAGAAAAAGAATTATATCGGGAAAAGTAATGGTAATAAGGAAATAAAATTCTTACATTATCATGTGCAAAATATGAATCTTAATTAGAATATATAGTATAAATATTATAAGATTTTAAAAAGTTAAGCAACATTAAATTCTTACAAATAATTATTATTTAAAATTATATGATGTATGTTATTTTGTACATTTTTAAAATAAACACAATAAAAATAAGATTTTACATATACATTATTATAAACTGTTTCTCACTCTATTATACGGAATTCATTAATTTATTAGTCCAAAAAGAGCCAATGAAATCGAGAATGGTGAAGCTATTCTTTTATATGATAAGATAATTACGTAGTATTATTTTTATGTATTAAAGAAATACCTTCATATATACAGCTATATATGATAATTTTCATAATGAGTAGAAGACCAATGGTCAGATTTGTTGTCATAATCGAACTAGTGATAATTACATAAGTATATTCTGTCATGATATACACTAGTTGTATTTTTAATTATAAAGATACTTTTTTCCAATACTTTATTTTTATAAATTTAATTAACACGGAATTATATAAGATAAAAATACTGTTAATGGTAATTTATCTGCACAAAGATACTTTTATTTAAATTAAAAACGAACTGAAATATAAACATTAATTGTCATTCCATTACATTCAGATTGATAAAAATGTAAGGATGTTAGAAATACCAATATGTATTACTGATAAGAATATTCTTGTATTATGTATAGATAATTTTCAGCTTCAGAATAATGACAGATAACTCCAGAAAAAATATTAAAATTTATGAATTTTTTGTAATCTCGATGTACTATTTGGTGTTTTATTTATATTCGCTCATTTTAAGAGTTGTTTCAGAATCAAAGATAGAAATTTTTATGAAATCAACCAAAATTTTCACATTGTAGACTCACAAAAACAATTAATTATATAGATAAATGAATCAAATATAAATATATTAATGTGCATAAATATTTTAATACGTACATATCATCAGCACTCACAACAGTACCAAGTGTTAAGGCGAGAGTAATGATGCATAGAACTGTAAGTAAAAAGGAAGTAACGAGGGAGGCGAGAGACAGCGATAGGATTGGTGATAAGTGGTCACCGCCACTCGCTGGCCGCCCTAGCGCCACCCAACCCATTCTATGTCATCTGTAACCAAAAATTGAGCACGTCTGAGTTATATTTTAGGTTATTAATCATTTCCTTCGTTGCAATATTTATGCTATGAAATATAAAAGTTATTGTTATTACTTAATGAAAGAACAATTAAGAATTTTACACAAACAATTGAACAAAAAAAAATGGTAATACACAATTATGAAATTTTCCATATATTATCAGTAAAAATACAGATATCTATTCGTATAACAAGTAATATTATAGAAATTGATAAACTATCAATGTATACATATAATCTACAAAGTTATATCAGATTAGTTAAAGAATTTATATTTATTTACTTAAATATCTATATACAGAAGCCTTTGTTTATAAAACTTTTAATATTTTATATTTTATATTTAATATTTTATAATATTTGTAAATAATCGTATTTAAATTATTATTTACTATTTCTATGTTATTTATTAGAAAATATTTAGAATAATCTTTCCGTTTTGCATATAATAGTCAATTATCAAATAATTATAAGCTAATATTAGAATCTCAATAACTTCATATTAAAATTTAAAACTTCTAAAATTATTACGTATGAAATAGTTGAACGATTCATTCTCATATTTTAAAAATGTATTAGGATTCTTTTTAGCATACATTTTTTGGTATATATTCGGCTACCTAAAAGTTTACCTTAGTAAACAAAAAAAAACCAATATATTACGAGAGAAATATTAAAAATAAAATAAAAACGTTAATGACTATAATAATTGTGTACGTTAATAATAAATATAAAATTCTTAAAAACGAAATTATTTGACTTTCAATATTTTTATAATTCATTGTACACATGCGTGCGTGCGTGCGTGTTTGAGAGAGAGAGAGAGAGTGTTCACGCACGTATATTTTTGTAATTATATCATTATTATGATTTAATGGAATTAAAATAAATACTTATTAAAATTTAATATTTGAAAAAAATTATAAGTAAAATTATAGTTTATAATTTGATACAGAAGTTATTTTTTGCATGAGGTCTTATAATATTTTGTCAAATAAAAAATGAATACTAACTCTGTATAATAAAAAAGTAATACGATTATTATTTTAGTAATAAGCATTACTAAAATATTGATGTAAATGCAATTACTGGCTCATAATTTTTTGTTACGTGATAAAAGAAAGTGCAATATAATATACAACAGTGAAAAGAAGAATAATGTAAAATTAGGGTTTGCATTTTTTATGTGTTTACACCATCCTGAAAAATTTGTATAACAATTTTTTTATAATTTAAAGTTAATTTCTATAATGTACAAATATAGAACATTTCTATTTATTTACTATTATTATAATGACAACACAATTATTTCTTCATTATCACTGTACTGTTATATTTGTATACGCGATATACGAATTGAAATATGAATTTAAATTAAATAAATGAAATTTTATATTTATCACTAATTTACTATTAATTTCTTAAGAAATTGAATTAAATTTATTATCATAATTATTTGTTTTATAATTATATATAATGAAAATTATAGAGGAATATAACACCCTGAACTATAAATATTACATAAATAACGATAAATATTACGTCAATTTGATAATACTAATATTTTTATTGATAATTAATAACGCAATAAAATCACATAAAACTCTTAGATATCTTTTACATATGATTATGTAAAAATTATATATATTTAAAAAATACATCTTTATTATCTATACATTACTATATCTAAATGCATCTATGATATCTATCTAAATTTCTAAATAAACATACTTTCATATATTAAAATTTATATATACGTTTTATAAACAACAATACGCTGTTTATTAGTTTTCTATTCACTCGAAGATCTTTATTTTCTATGGCACTAAATGCAACATCTTTGAACCATACAAAACATTGAACAGCCGAATTGCATCGTTGTTGGTGACGATACTATTTTGTAAATTATTGACTGCAGCTACACTTAACTTTAACTTCCTTTACTCCATTTTATCTTAATCCTTTAAAAGAGACTAACGAAGCATGTGCATCTACATATAATTGCATTATGTCAGAGCCAATCATTCGAAAAACTATATCTAAAAAAGGAAGAAAATAAAATATACTGTTAATATTCTCTCTTTTCTCGTCGCTTCCAACGATCAATACGAGCATTGCGGCATGCAACGCTGTACTGTAGATCGTAGTATGTAGTTCTTTTTATACGTGTGTTCCACGGTCTATCAGATTTTGCAACAAATTATTAATAAATATAATAAACATATTTTAATTAATAGTATATTTTTAAAACTTGTGCAAAACTATAAGATATCTTTATACGGAAATTTTAAAGCTTAAAAATACATGTTAAAATTGTAAAATAATAATTCAATATAAATACATTTTCAAGATTAATAAATATAAATATTTAAATAAATATTAATTAATAAAACTGTGCATACTAGTTTGGATACCGAATGGAAATTTTCAAATAAGGACAAGTACTATTGTTATTATATTTAAACAAGATGATTAGATAAATAATTTATATCTATACTCAATTCGAACATACTATCTCCTCTAGAATAATATATTTAACATAAGGCAGAACACCACGACCTAGTTTATAGGTCATACTTGATCGTTCAAATATAGCAAAACCACCTATCCTATTGGTATACTTGTAGTATTAATATAAATTAAATATTTTTAATTGAAGTAGTGTTCTATATAGACTCACACACACACACACACACACACACACACACACACACACACAAACACACACAAACACACACAAACACATATGTATACAATATAAATAGTTTTTAAGAAAATGAATATTATATTTTTATATTTATGGGAATATACAGAATTTTAAATTGTCTATATATAAAATGTCTGTAATATAATCCTATTGTTTTCCTTTAATATATTGCATTCAATTGGGTTTACAGTATAAAATCTAGTAAATCATTATTCATTTTGGAAGGTGATAAATAGCGAGAAAAATTTCATTCTTTATACCATGTAACATCATTTATTTGTAAAATATTGCAATATTAAATCATCTTGCATATTTCACTTTCATGTTACTAAAAATGTCATATTTAGCATAAATATTAAATTAGTGTTCTAAGCATTCATAAAATTGAATTCAAATTGAAAATATTCTCATAATAACTTACTGTAATTAAAACGACTTTTGCACGATATTTAAATATAACAAATATTTACAAGAAACATATTTGCTTTCTAATATATTTCATAAAAACATTTAAATTAGTAAACTATATTGTGCGGTTTATACAAGTAGCTACATTATTCACAAGAAAGATTAATTTCTATCAAGAAACAGAAGTATTTTTATTTTTAGTATTCAATATGCTGGTGTCGATATTAACAAATTTATTATTTAGAATTTATTAACTTTATGCTTAAAAGATAGACTTTTCTATGAAGTTTTTGTTAAATATAATTTATATATAAAATTTGTTCTTATATATTTTACAATGATTAAGTTTATTTTTGTATTACTCTAATAACCTTTTAATCAATGTCGTACAGTATGATATCAAACCATAAATTTGAATTACAACAAAATTCTATCTCAGTGTATTAATACAATCATTTTGTTTTCTATGGGACATTAATTTTACTAAATTAAACTATTTAAAAGAAAATTTTGTATATATCATAATTAACTTATGAAATTGATTTTAACCAACGTACATGTGTTCATAATCTAAATTAATATTATATAATTAATTAAGCTTAATATAATATAATGTAGAAAATTTCTCAATAGACTTAAAGAAGTATTGAAATTCTCGGGGTATACATATTAAACTATTTAATTCTGTTATTTAAGATGAAAATAGTCAAATATATGCACATGTGTACCCAGGCCCGGTGCCTATGTCCACATACACACAGTAATATGTAAATAGATAAGTTCATTTGCATGCACGCATTCATATAGGAATCACATAGAAATTAATAAGATTAAAATATTTATTATAATTTACAATATTATAAGCAGATGCGATATTGAAATATAAACTAGATTTCACGTACAAAGTAATTATAAACAAATAAAATTTAATAATATAATAAGTATATTATCTACCACCCGTGCTGACATTTGTAAATAAGAAGTTGGTATGGAGAGGTTTCGAACTTGCAATGTAATATTTAATTTTATGAATCTATTTAAAAACTTTAAGAATCATATTGGATAACGCCGGAACTACTTATACTTTGATATCATGTGATCATTTATAGCAATAATAGTTCTTCTCAACTTATGAGATTTAGTAGCAAAATATCAATAGAAATTTATAAAATTGTAACACAATATTATAGTACCGTATTTTTTCTATGTTAACAATTAAGAAATAAAAAGAGTCAATATCTACTCCTTTTATTTTTATACTTTGTAAAAATTACTAAAATATAATCTGTAATGAAAAAAATTGTAACGTATTATGAAAGAAGAGAGTTTAGTATTGGTACAGTGTACAGGTAATTGAATTGAAAAAAAGATTTGAAACAATTTTTAAAAATATATTTTTAAAATTAGTTTATGAGAAAAAATTTTTTCTATCATTACAATTACATTTTCCATCAGAAATTCTGATAGATCGTTAGAGTTTATAATTTATCCTAATTCTTGATCTAATATATATAAAATTCAATAAAATTTATGATGATTTCATATACAGCTATATCACCGTCTATAATCCATTTTTTTTTATATTTCAAACGATACGTTTTTTACTCTCAATTATTACTATTTCTTTCCCACCTTTTCAATTCTTTTTCTGCCTTTTTTATACTATTTATTATTTCTATTGATCTATCTCTTTTGCTCTTCCCACGTTAAATTACTAATTTAAGTTAATATTACATAAATAATATTGTTACTTAAACATAGGGACTATTTTTTCATCAATATTTCTACATACGCAGATATAAATACCGAATTGATACTAGACTCTATAGTATTTGTAAAAATGGTGGTATCGAGGCCAAGATTAAAAACCAAGGCTAAACATATTTAGATTTTAATTACTTATCAACGGTAACCTCACAAGGTGATAATAAATAAATAAGTAAATCATTTTTTATGGAATACAAGTATTATAGTATGAATTCAAATTATTTAAACGTGTATTTAATTTGTAAGAATTATCAGTAATAAAGTTGATATGTTATATCATTATCAAATTAAATAACATATATATTTATATAAATTTTAGAACATTTTTTATAATTTAAAATCGTGCAACATTTCTTTCCGCTGGAGCCAAATAAGTTTTTATATATAGTAAAAATCTTTTTAAATATTCAACAAAATAACAATTAGTTAATTTCATTTTTATTAGTTTAAAGAGAATTAAATTGAAATAAGATAATCTCATGTTTAAGTTAAGTATAAAAATTAAATTAAGGTACAATTTTAATATAATTTATAGTTGTGTAATGTTAACTATTATAAGATACATTTAATTAATCAGTTACAATTTAACAAAATTACTGTCTCAAAGAAAACTTTAAAGATAAATACCTTGAAGTAAAAATAAAGAAACGAAAAAGGACGACAAAATGCAAACTATAGTTAAGAAATTTATTTAAACGAAATGGAGTAGAAAAAAAAAACAAAAAGAATAGAAAAAAAAATTTATAACTACTTTGAAATTTATGTGACTAAGATTTTTAACTTTTATAAAATTTAAGTTTCAAATGACTTTTAAGTTAAAAATAAAGTTTTCAAACTTTATTTTTGAATTAGAAAATACATAAGAGTCCCGCCAATTTAAAAGTTACTACGTGAAGGTAATTCAAATTTTCATGCGTTCTTCGACTAAATTGACTTAAAGGTACACGCGAGGCTAAGAGTGAAACTAAGAATGATGAAAAGAGATTAGATTAGGGACAAGGTATGCAGCTATTAAAAAGTAATATAGATCTCACGAAAGCTCAATTTTAAATGCATCTTCATATTTATGTTTCTTTAAATATATAATGAAAAGGTCAAGTTCTTCTTTTATCTTATTATCTAATCGATAATTATAAGTGTAATAGCTTTTATATATCATTTTATATGAATGTCTTTAAGATGAAATGAAAAATATTTTATTTATTTATTAAAATATGCTTTTCCTTTTAGTTATATTTAACAATGTTAGGGAGAGAAATACTTAATCATTGTATTGAGTTGTGTAATTTTATTTAAATATTAAAATTGTATTCGAAATATATTCTAATGCAATAGTACTTATAATGTTCCCTACTATGTATAATTAAATTTTTTTTTTAATATATGTTTTAACGTTGAAAAATTTTTTCTATGAATAATTCTGTTAGAAATACCATATATGGTTAACTTATTATGTATAACATTTTACCATGAATATTCACTAAATATTGCTTAGATTTAAATTATTAATTTTTAATTTTATTTTATTTTAAGAAAAAATTGTATATAATTTAAAAATAAATATTAATGAGTATTAATATTTAAAATAATTTTTTTTATAATATTGATAATAAACGTCACAAATGTTAAAACAGGTTGGAATAAAAATTGTTATAGAAATATGATTTAACTTTTATTATATTTAACTTTTATTTCTGATAATGATAATATATATATATATATATATATATATATATATATGAAACTTACACATTCAGTAATATTAAAAATATTTTTTTGTTTAATACTACGATTTTTTTTATAAATTATTAATAAATAAATATATATGAAATATTAGGCCAAAATTTTATATTATATTTTAATATTATATTAAAACATATTATTTAAAAGCAATTATACATTTTGTTTCCTTTATGCTTTTATCGAGGCGTTTGATGTATACTTCGAAAAATAATGTTTAACTGGAATAAATTTACATTATCAAGATATTTTATACAGGTGGGTTAATGTAATTTTTAACTTTTGTACTTTACAGGTGACTTATAATCAATAAATGAACAATTTATTATTTAACGAAACTTATATATTTATTTTATAAGCAAAATAATATTATTTAGTATAAATTCATCCGTATATATATATATATATGTATATTATTGATGCTCTTCTACATTCATAAATGAATATGCTTACATACGTGTGTACGTGATATAGTTCAGTAAATGCAGGGTTAGGCGGTAATCAAGAAGGGATATTGGATAAAGAGCACATGTTTCAGTTGGTCTACTGGGCTCATAAGGCTATTATATAGTAGGTCGGACCTGGCTTACACGCAATGAGGTATAAAATATTATAAAATAAATTTTTTAAGCATTCCTATAATTTCTAGTTCAAGAAAATTTTTTATTGGTCAAATTATAAGTGAATGCATGCTTGATTTCAGCTACTTTTTGAAGATGGCTATTCAACTGTATTAATTAAATTCATCGGCATATTCAATTGATTCTAATTATTGTCAAAAATGCTTATATACTTTATAAATTATTCTTTTCGTCCACTTGACTTATTGTAAGTAGGATACATAATTATAAATTAGAAACAAATTCTTATTTGGTTTCAAAGCCAAAAAATCGAAGCAATATTATTAACGTGAATGTACAGAGTGTAATAATATATTAAACATAAACGTGTTGTTAAGACTGATGATAAATTTGTATAAACACCAACGTACAAGGAAATATTGTTCTTTAGTACATTATTGATTTTTTTTCAAGTATCATGAAACTAGTTTTACCAAGGAAGATTTAAAATAATGCATATTTTTATTAATTTATATTTAATTTAGATTAGTATAACATAATATAATCGTTTAAATTTTTTACATAATTTGAACTTAATAAAATAATTTAAGGACACTATTTGTAAAGTAATTGTACTTAAAATATAAAAATTCAAATGTTTCATAAAAATAATATAAAATATTAAAGAATCAATTTCTTATTTAACTTGATGCAACATTGATACTTATATTTCTAAATATTTCAACTAGCTCATAAATATAATCAAATTAATCTTAAGACTATAATTAATCTAAAATAACATTTCACAATATATATTTTAAAAATTATTATTGTAAAAAATAATATTATTATCACAATACTTCATATATACAAAGTTTTTTTCTCACTAGCAGCCCTCTTGACATTAAATATTTTTAAAAATCTGAGAAAAGAGTCTGGAAATCTAACAATCAAGAATAGTATTTCTTTTACAATATAAAGTTATTACATTTGTCGAATAAAGACAAATGCATATGCTAGAATTTATGATAAAAAATAATTCTTATAAATAAAAATATTTCCATCAATCATTTTCTATAATTTTCTCTGATATTTTCTTATAAAAGAAATTATGTTTTAAAATGATGAATAAACCAGAATTTGCAAAAAATAAATTTATATTTAAAATAATTATAAAACAAAAAACGATAGACTAATGAATGGTGAATAAATTAATATGTATAAATATATTAGATAATTAAAAAAATACATTCATTTAGACTATAAAATGAATTAAATTATACACTCGTATAAGAATTTGTTATAAAGAAGTAAAATATATTAAAAAATAAACATGAATTATATTGAAATAAAAATTAAGAATAATAAATTCTAGTATTATATAAATATTGTAATTTTATAATATTTTAATTAACAGACAAAATAAATTTGAAAAAATTAAAAAATACTTGTACATAGAGTTTATGCATATTTTTATTTGGGACAAACTGGTGTTCTGGATATTATTGAAATTTATTTTGTAATATATTAAACGAAAGTATTTACAGAATAAATTAAAAAATTATACAATAATGAAAATAATTATAGTAGTAATACCTTAACGTGAGAGTTGCAGCTGGTTGCATCAGGTTGTAACTATTAGTTAAATTAAATAAATTCTTTTAACTTTCGTCCTCGTTCATTGCTCACTTTAGTTGATTAAATCAAACTTGATAATAATAACAATAATATCTTAGTATGATGTAATGTTTTTATGAAGCACTTCCATAATCTGAAATACAATTGCACCCTATTAAATAAAATAATTGATTTTAGATTTTTTTGTATTACATGTAAAAAAGAGAAGAAAGATAAAGTATATTAATTAATCATAAGAGTTAAATTGTTGTAAATTTTATTATTATATTAGAAATCACTTAAAAAATATAATGAACTAATCGATGTGGATATAGATTTTAGGGATTATAGATGATATTAATTATATTAAAAACATTAAATAGTATTTCGTCATTCCATACTTTTCAATTTTATTTATTTTAATTGAAAATTATATTAATATTTTATACTTTAACAACAACCTTTTACTTTATGTACCAAGTTGTTCTGATTATCTGTTCTTTTAATAGGTACCACTCGTTTGGTGATTTGGTTTCATTTATATATGTTATAAACAAAAATTAATATAAAGCTAAATTTCTTATATTTTATTTGCTAACAATGAGAAAAATTGAAATGATTTTATTGTAAAATAAGGAATAAAACAATATAATTGTAAGTATAATATGTGACTGTTTATAATCATCTATTTGGTGTAAATTTGATATTATCTTATATTTTAAAAAATTCACATTCTGTATAGTAAATTAGATTGCATATATAGATAATAATAACAAAAAAAATTACTAAATTATCAGAGTTAGATAACTAGATGAAAAAAATTTTAATTTTTTAATATTTTCATCTGTTTATAGGGAATATGATTATAGTAAAATAATCAAAAGTAAATGAATCTCAAGAATTGATTAAAAAATATTATAATAAACTTAAATATAAAAATAAATTAAGTTTTTCAGTGTTTACAATAATGTGATAACAGATTTCTTTAATTGATATAAATAAAACATAATCTATCGTTGATAATCTAAATTTAGCGAAAGATAATAAAATGTTATAATTAAAAATATGAAACTTTTAACATGAATCGCTTTTAAGTATACAAATCTTTTAATTGCTTTTAAATATACATATTAAATAATTGGAATTCCAAGATTAGATTATAAAATGTAAATACGAGAAGTTTCAATTAATTTTCGTAAAACGGAGAATGCCTAAAATCTCTTAAAAACTCCAAGAATCGAGACGATATTTCATATTGTATTTTAAAAAGTTTCGCGCTACATATTACGTTGATATTATAAAATCGGACCCATCCAGAACATTACCCAACGCTTAATAATGACAAATCGGTGTAACACTAATACTAATGCTAAATGTATCAATCATACTAATTGGTACTATTCGTGGTAGCAATAGAAGTTTATGCAGTTTTGGAGATTCTATGTAATGACAAATGTGGAGTGGCTGACTTATATAGTCAAATTCGCAGATGTTTCAATAAAGATAGGAAACATTTAATCAATTGAACTTGATCAAGAACAATTAACTGGAAAATATCGGCAACTCGCTTAAAGAAGTGCCGCTTAATCCCGTTAATACATTTGTATTTACGTGAAAATAGTGATGAAAGTCATCGTAGCCACTTGCAGCAACCACCGGTGAGACACTTGAGCATTGATCCTTGCTCCTATTTACCTCTGTTCCTGCCAATAATAAACTCTATTTGAAAATTCAAATATCCTTCGTTTAGGAACAGTTTTCCATTAAAATTGCGAATCTAGAATTGTGTACATGCCGTCAAAATGTACATATCCGTTAGCGCAAATTTGCTTGGTTAAAGTTACTAGTTAGAATTAATATATGTCACGTGCTTATAACTGTAGCCGACGTCATACTTCAGTTATTCAATTACATAAAATAAATTATTCATTATATTGTAGACATAACAGTTATACATAAAGCGTATTTAATAATCTTGTTTCTAATATTAGATTTATAATCATTATCGAATATAATAAAATGACATTACTATATTCTTCATATACTTTAATTTACTAATCAGTCGTATTAATATGTGCTGTAAACTGTGATCACATGCAAGAAATTATCAAATTTTGTAGAATACTTAATACATAAATGCTGTAAAATTAATATTTAATATAATACTTATAAATAAGTAATTAAGATTTATGAGTGATATCATTTTACAAAGGTGTATTTTAAAAAATATTTTAATATATATAGTGTATTTTGTAAAGTATTGATATTATTTTTTTAACATAAAGCATTTTGAATATAAACATAAATGTTAATTATTAATATTTTCTATTCGGCATTTTCTTATAACGCAATATAACATCAATAACATAGAAAAGTTGCATTCATCATTGCTTATTATTACATTTATATTTAATTTTAAACATATATTACAATACATTATATAATAAATATTGAAAAATAATAGCATAACGCATATCCTTAAATCTTATCAATCAAAAAAATTTTTCTTCACATATAGAGACTAATCGATAAGACTAATGCGATTTGAATCAACATTTTTTCTTTTTTATAAATGCAGTTATTTTTTGTTTTAATTCTAGTAGTAAATTATTTCTTTGTATAAAGGACATCCGTTGTTTTGAGGGCAGAAAGTTCAGACACCCTAAATGAAATTATCAAGTTCGTTTCGAACTAAATCTATCTCTTCTGACTCACATAATGTATTTTTATTAAAAGTAAATAAAAAGCATGTAGAAAAAATTAAAAAACGCAGACTACAGGTTTCGCCGTAGTCGACATCTATGACGACGGCAATAACAACGTCTAGCATTTGCGTATTTTACACTATAGATTCCACAACCTTGGCCCCTTTGCCTCATTCACGCTAAAGCCAAACGCGGCGCATAAACCACTTGTACATTGTTATACTATACTTTAGATTTCGCCTAAACCCCTATGTCTTTAATGCTGAATTGCAATGTAATTAGTACTTTAATGTAAGAGATGCTTGAGATTCAAGATTGGATTTTCAAATATTTTTCAAAGCTATCTTTTGAAGTTCATCAAGCATCGATATACATTTTTTTTATCGACAGTATAATAATGTCTGCAATTTCTGATATTTATTGCCACATAGTATTTTTGAAATTTATGAAATTTTCAAATGTTTTAGTGTATTCACCTACATTTTATCATGTGAACGTTATATTACATTATATTGCATTTACAACGTATGTGTACATAATGAATGTCAAATGTATGTTATATACATAATAAAAATAATATGATAAAATATTCATAAAAATTCTTACCGAAGCAATTAGTAAAAATTCAACTAATAATACGATGTAAAAACTTATTTTCAATGTATTTGACGGAAATTTTCTCTCATCATAAAATTCTAATAATAAATAAGTAATTTTAATGTAAATATATTGTAACATATCAACTAATTTCTAATTTTAAATTAGCTTATATAAGCTTTAAGTAAATTATGATTTAAAAATTAACAGTAGCTTCATCGTTATTTCTTTGTGCATAAGTTAGGAATTATTAATATGTGTATGATTTGATAGAATCGAATCGAATTTTAAATAATATATATAATATAGTGAAATCACGAGAGCTTTATATTGTAAACATCTATACACGTTTATTCATTTAAAATTTATTTATAAGTAGAAACGTTTTATCTCACAATAAACCTAGATATCACAAAGATAGAGTTATATCATTATGTGATTGAATTAGATTTTTTTTAATAATATTGTTTAGTTTTTGATCCTACCTTAAGTATCAGATGGTTAATATAAAACATATGTATTTATGAAATTAGTCAACTAAAAAAATTAGTCTATAAAAAATGTCGGGGAATGAAGGATATAAATGATGATTACTAATTATGAATTTTAATTTAGCATTTATTGAAAAGTGAGTGGAGTAATAATTATATATGTTAAAAAATGAAATATGTGCTTTGTGATGTCCTTTATTCAAATAGAAGAGGTACAGATTTAATTAATGTTTAAATATAAAACTGCAAATATAAAAAAATTAATCAAAATAAATTATAAACGTTTTGACATTTTTATATAATTCCATGTATTAGGTTGATATGATTAGGTTGTATTATATATTTATATATATTTTAAATGTTTAATCTAATCATATCATATCTTATATATATATATATATATATATATATATATATATATATTGATTGCTTTAATAGACTATTATAAAAACAATAATCTTTTCCAAACTGTTTTTAATGAATTGTGTTTTTAAATATTTTTTATTTAAATGACCTATTTTTCACTTTATATGCGAACTAGTGGTACATATTTGTGTAATTATAGGTAAAGGTAACTTGTACAGTAAATCAGACCAAGTATTAATTAAAATGAATATCATATTTTATAATTTTGTGAGAAAAACATAAATATTATTGTTTTGCAATAAAACAATATTACAAAATATTATGATGATACTGAGTTTTTTTTTGTTTTTTATTTTAATGGGTGATCCACATATTTAGGTATATGCAGTTTTTAAATATACTGCATATATATTTGTATATCAATTATAAATTCTTTTTATATATATTAAAAAACAAGAAATTAAAATATATATTATATAAGCAAATTTATGAAACCAATTGGATTAATAGTAATGTTAAGTAATAGTCATTGAATTAATAAAATTCAGTATTATTAGTTATTTAACAGTCTATAGTATTCTTTTAAGTAAGATTTTTATAGTATTTTTTAAGGAAGTTTAAAACGTGAAATTCTATTATATAGCATCATATATAAAAATATCATATAATAAATAAGTGGTTCTAATACGTTAACAAGTTATATCTAATACAAAGTCTTCATATTCATCAAAAGATGATAACACAAATATATAGCTATACTCAATTGGAATACATGTCAAAAGCAAATAAATGAATGCATGAACGAATGCATGAAAAAGCTAAGATAGTCTCTGGGTGAAGGCTACAGTATAACTTGCGACATAATGACCCTGCCAAAGAAGAAAAAAGAGGGAGTGCATTGATCAATCGACTTTCTTGTTGCTCGGCCTCATGAACCTACATATAATAATCAACGTCTCTGTTGACATTCTTGCCCTTTTTTGTT